TAATAATGTAAAGAAATGCAATCATTTCCTCACAAAAACTAGAAGAAAAAAAACAGCAAAAATGTCCCATTTTCATTAGTTGCAAATAAAACTACCAGCCACAATACAGGAGAAGCTTTTTCACAAATTCTGTTGAAAACTGACTTCACTTTTAACAGATATGAAAATAACAGTCCTATCTAAAGTTTAAGAGATACAACGTGAACTTTTAAGTCTCCCTGTCTTTTCTTTCTATTCTTTGTGCACAAAAAATTCTAATATTTATGCTAAGTGCATGTTTATTTCCTATATATTTATTTTATTGTATATCTACTATAGGGAAATAGTACACAAGCATGGCATAGCTGTGAAAATGCAGTGGATATGGGGAGGCTTGAAAAGAATCAAAAATAAATTTAGAAAATTGCTTATGCCTAAGGAAAATATTAACCCCCAAATTGATTTATTCGCCCCAAATGTTTATTGAATATGAATTTTGACTGGTCTTATAAGGTTTATAAGCCATTTACAAAACTGGCTTTATTAGTATACCATATCAAACAAATCATTGACTATTACCCAAACTTCAAATATATACATATATATAAATATATATATATATCACATGGGAATTATGGCTTAAAGGTAGATGTAAAGAAATAAACTCAGACACAGCAGGGACTATTGAAAACATTAGTTCTGGATTTAATCACTTCTATTAAAGGTTATTTAGCAATGAAGTGATATACTACTCATACTACTCTTTATACTTGCTGATGCAGTTAACAATAGCTAGGATCCGGTAAATGGATCTAAAGCCCACTTATAATCTCAATTAGAAATAAACATTTGCAAGAGGAAAAACTAGTGTTAGGATGTGTGTTTATTAGTATCTTAGTCTATTCTAGTGCATTTTTCAAATTCATTTTTCAAACCTTGACACTGTCAATGGTCAATTCCTTAGGTCTGCAATCTAGCATGATACCAACAAAAAGGAAAACCTTAGTTTTTTTCATCTACAAAATGGGTCTCATGAGGCCTTCTTTAGAAGACTAGTGTCAGAATTAAATGAGATACAAAGAAAAACAGAGATTTTTCTAAATTAAAAGTAATAAACCAGGAACTGTAGTTGGATCCTACTTCAGAGCGGGTAAATGAAAGATTATAAAAAACATTTGTTGATCTATCCTGAAAATTTTGGTATGAAATGAATTTTAGAAGATATTAAGGCATAATTCTTATTAATTTTCTTAGCTGTGATAAAGATACTGTGCTTACAAAAATAATATTCTTATTGTCCATATATACTTGTAGAAGTATTTGCAGGTAAAGTATCATGATGTGTGCAACTTAGTTTCAAATGATTGAGGGGAGGAGAAAAGCACATATAGAGAAATAGGGCGGGTGAGGTCCAGCAAATTTGGCAAAATGTTAATGGTTGAATCTGGGTGCAGAGTACATGGGGTTCATTTTACTATTTATTTAACTTTTGGATATTTGGTTTTTTTAAAGCTTTTTTTTAAAGTAACATACAGTGTAAGATTAGTTTCAAGTGTATAATATAGTAATTCAATACTTCCATACAATACCCGGGGCTCATCACAGTAAGTGCTCTCCTTAATCCCCATCACCTATTTAACTCAGATCCCCACCCACCTCCCCTCTAGTAACCATCCAGTTTCTTCTCTATAATTAAGAACCTGTTTCTTGGTTTGTCTCTCTTTTTTTCCCTTTGCTTTTTTTGTTGTTTCTTAAATTCCATATATGAGTGAAATAGTAAGGTATTTGTCTTTGACTGACTTATTTCACTTAGGAGAGTACTCTCTAGCTCCATCCATGTCATTACAAATGGCAAGAGTTCATTCTTTTTTATGGCTAAGTAATATTTCATTATATATATAATGATATATATGTATATACACATATATATAATGGTATAGACACATACATATATGTATGTATATTCATGGACTGATGAATGGATAAAGAAAATGTGGTAACGTACTATGTATGTGTGTGTGTGTATATGTGTGTGTGGCATCTTCTTTATGCATTCATCAGTCAATGGACACTTGGGCTGTTGCCATTAATTTGGCTATTGTAGGTAATGCTGCTATAAACAATGGGGTGCTTGTATACCTTTGAATTAGTATTTTTGTATTCTTTAGGTAAATGTCACTCTTGAGTATTTGAGATTTTTTTCTAAATCGAACGTTCGGTCGAAAAAATTAAATGAGAGAGTGTCATTAAAGTGTCTGGCTCCTATTAGCTGCTAGTTTAGGATGATTACTATCTCACCGCAGAGTGAACGGTGCCCTGCACACAGCAGGTAAGTAGGGAGAACTTTCTAAAAAGAAATTTCAAAATGAACATAAAGAATTGAAATCCTCTAAAAAGGATGTCTCTGAGTCCATCAGGGTCACAAGCTGAGGAGAAAGTAAAGTTCTGCTTTCTTGGGGACACTGGGCACCTAAAGCTTAAAGGTTAAGAACACTGACCTGTAAGTCTAACCCCTTGGAGTCAAATCTGTGATGGGTGCAGTAAGGTCACCTTGGATGCATTATTTAACCTCATGTCTCAATTTTCCCAGCTATAAATGTGACATAAAAATAGGTTGCTCCTATTTTGTAATATCCTTGTGAAGATTCACTAAGACAATGTGCTTTAAATGGTGCCCTGCACATAGTAAGTACCCAAATATTAGTTATTATTATAATTATGTAGGTAAAACCTCCCATTCCACTGAACCATGATCTGAGAGGTGCTACCAGCATTTACTTAGGATTGCCCCTTTTACTAAACTAAATCTAAGGTTAATTATTCTTAGAAACGTTCCTTCAATTTTCTTCAGTTTCTAATTTTCACTAAAAACCCACAATTAACCTATTCTTGCTTTTGTTTCCTTTACAGAGAATTCTCAAAAAAGCAATGAAGTTTTCATGTGACAAGTTTCTATCTGATTCTCAAACATCAATGGGTTTGTTGTAGTAGTAAAAATCTAACGTTTTATAGTACAAACGCTACAAATTTAATGCCTGTAAAATGAATGTTTCAGGAATGTTTTCTGTATCTATGATGTCTGTATTACATGTGCCCTCAAATAAAACTTAGGATTGTTGGTGTCAGTGTTTCAGATTCTCAGAAAAGCAGTATTAGTGTTTTAGACCTCCATAGGGGTCAGTCTATACCCAACTTTGTAGCTTGGGCATCCTCTGGAAGTATCTCTTCTTGGGTTGTTACCTTAAGAGATAACAGAAAAATTTTAAGACTTTGCTCTTACTTTAAGGTGATTAGTATGATGGGGCCTCTGGGTGGCTGAGTTAAGTGTCTGACTTTGGCTCACGTCATGATCTCATGGTTTGTGAGTTCAAGACCCACATCGGACTCTGCACTGACACTGAGGAGCCTGCCTGGAATTCTCTCTCTCTTCCTCTCTCTCTGCCCCTCCCCCACTCACACACACTCTCTCTCTCTAAATATATAAACCAACTTTAAAAAGAAAAAAAATGATTAGTGTGATAACATTTGTGCCTTCATTTACCTTATTACAAATAAGGGCCACTGACACGTTACAATCCAAAAGGAGACGGACCCTCTTTGGACACTCCAGAGACAGGCCAATAGTAGCCACATGCCTTATTTATAGAGTGCCTTACAGTTTCCAAAGGCATGTTTACACCCAGCACCTCATTTTATTCTCACAGCAATTCTCAAGATGTTCTGGGCTGTCCTTACCCCCAGTTTACAGGTAAGTCACAATGGTGAAGTGGAATCTACTCCAAGTCACAGAGAAATTATAGGTGCTTATGTCTTCCAGATACACATCCACTCCTGCCTTTTGCTCACATCCCTTCTCTGGGCACCCATTTCCTCATCTGTGTAGGGCTCCTCGGGGTCCCAGGTCCACCCTCTTGCTTTTCCTGAGAGACTCAACACCATATCTCCTCTGGCTGACCATCCCACTCTGAACTCCGAGCCATCTACCAGGCACACCTTACAAATATTCATTCACTCAGAACCCAAAATATAACAATATCAAAACAAGAGGAGAGGAATAGTCCTGGCTATTTTAAAGCTAATGAAATAAAAGCAAGAAACAAAGACCTAGAGAGGCCTTAATTTGTCAAACCAAATGTCTCAAGTACACTGAATGAGTTCCTTTTACTGAAGTAGATCAAAAGGAATTCTACTTTTGGTCCCTCCTGACTGTGGAAAAGTTTCTTATCCTCTTAGGTTCAGCTTCCTCACTAGAGAATGTTCCTATTACCTCCCAGCCTTCAAAGTGAGGCTGACGAAAAAGAAGAAAGTATATGGGGTCATATCTAACAGCACCTAGCCCTCAGTTAAGACTTTGATAGTTACTTATTGAGTTGGACTAAACCCTATAGATGAAGAAATGCATAAGCTTGAAATGTGATATATAACAAAGAGTAGAAAGTATAAAACTCAATATTATAAATTAGATATCTTGATGTTAATTAAGTATATACTGCTTATATGCTCCAGTTTATTATCTAAAAAGACATTTAAAATCATTCTACAAGAATAACCGTAAATTACACTGAATAAGCTTCACAAAAATATCCAGGATATCAGTAGTTTGAGTAGTTGGCTGGGGTATGTGTGTTAGTTTAGCAGAAAAACTGAACCTCTAAATTTTATGAAGAAATGGGTGTGTGGTTATATGTATCATGAGGCCTTAGCAAAAGGAGAAAAAGGAAGCAAGCAGTTGACTCAAGAGCAAAATTTGAGAAGGCAGATAGGGCAGGTTTAGGGGGGATAGTGGGCAGTAAACAACTTAAGAGTATAAAGATTCTAGAAAAGATGACATAATACAGACCTTCCTAACCTTAGGCCATGGTCCCTCAACATGCTTAGAGGTTCTGGGGCTGATACTCAATAGCACTCACCAAAGTGAACTTCGATGTTGAGTTCTGGGATCGCCCTTCTCTCCCAGAAAATGAAAGCAGCTCCTAAATCTTTACCTTATTTCAGAAATAAATGGTGAATGCTGAACTCACCAGTTGATTCTGGTAGGCAGTGACTGCTGTGAAAACAGTCTCTGGAAAGATGAATGTTCTGAATTCTTCAGACTTCAGATTGAGCAACGAGGCTGTGTGGTCTTTCTTCTTAATGATGTGCACCCGCGGCTGGTACTTGTGCATGGAGTTCAAAATTATCTATGACAAAGAGATGAGAAGTACTGAATATTAAGCATTTGTATTGCAAAATAGGCCAAATTATAATGATGCAAAGAAAGAACCATAAAATCTATAGTTTTGAATTTAAGTTTTAAGATTAGGATCCACCCTTTTTTTTTTTAATGTTTATTTACTTTTGACAGACAAAGACAGAACATGAGCAGGGGAGGGGCAGAGAGAGAGGGAGACACAGAATCCAAAGCAGACTCCAGGCTCTGAGCTGTCAGCACAGAGGCTGACACAGGGCTCAGACCCATGAACCCTGAGATCATGACCTGAGCCAAAGTCAGACACTTAACTGACTAAGCCACCCAGACTCCCATACCCTTTCCATTCTTAAGGCAAATCATTTTCACAGGGTGCTGCAGAGACATAGTTGTGAAATCACATTTTACCAAAACAACTGTAAACAATACAGGCTGTTTCAAGGGTCCTTTCTAAAGGATGATGGGGGGAAATTCATCTGAAGGATAAGTTCATTTGCTTTTTTTTTTTAATCAATTCTTTAAAATATTTTTTGTTAGTCTGGTTAGATTGAAGGATATATGTCTACATTTTCTAAAGTAAGAACTTACCTATTCTCAGAGGACAGATTATTATTTATGGTAGTAGAGGGGAATAAAAAGAATTAAGAAAGGCTATGTGTTGTTAGACTTTAGAGTGCAGAATCTGTTCTAGCTCCTTGCGCCAAGTGATCTCACCTCTCAACTCTGTTTTCTCAAATGCAAAAACTTACTAATCTCACAGGGTTGTGGTGAGGATAAGATGACGTTAAAACACTCATAAATTACATAGCAAATAGGAAGTGCTCAGTAAACCTTAGTAGTGGTAGTACTAGTATTTCTGACAGTTCTGTTGATTCCTGACTCACAGTTATAAACCAAGCATGAATGACAGTGATGACCATCTTCTGTTTTATAGCCTGTAAAAGTTGCCAATACTTGGAAACCATAAGCCTACCTTGATTAACAAGGCAGTATTTCTGATGAATGTTTTAAATAAAATATAATGATTTGCCATTATGAAATTCGAGCAATAAAATTCACTTTCATATATAAAAGTTTTTCTCCATCTTCCCCTCTGCTACTCAGACAGCTACCTAAATTTGCAAAATTGGGTATGTCCTTCCTGGGATTAAGAGCGCTCACATTGTATGCCCTTAACCCCAACGGCCTAGCAGAGATCCTGGCTCTCTGGCGAGGCATGTGATAAATAGTCCAGCAAGAGTGTGGTCAATGGCGGTGTCAATGCATGTAATGGCTCCCCCATCTTCTATAATAAGAAGGGTGGGTGTGGTGAATGAGTATTTTTGCTGGCTTACGTTAGCAGAGTTCAACACTAGTCACTGTGGGATAATTAATATAGAATCAACCTTTCTGTATGCTAAGATGTAAGCCAACTTAAAGTTACAGGGCATTAATTAACCGGCATTGAATTTAGAACATGCCATCCATTTATGATCCCAAACCTGGATAGGAATAACTAAAACAAATGAGAGCTTCAAATGAATTGAAACAGACTTTTAAAAAGTCATCTCTTTATATAATGCACTTATTCCAAGGAGTTTAAGATGTTTATGCTCACTCATAAAACTGGAATAAACTCAAATCCAAACAAAACAAAAAAACTGGAGTAAACTCAAAGTGACAAAAGTAAACTCCTAACACTGATATAAGAAAATACCTGGGTGTTCATTATATATTGTAATAAGAAGTTAGAAATAATTTTCACACACATTCTCCCTCTCTCTCCTTCTCTCCCTCTCCCCCCCCTTCTCTCTCACACACACATACACACACACACACACACACACAATGGAAAAAGCGCTAAGCTTTAAATAATGTCCCCTCTCTCCTACTTATACCATCCCAAGGTCAGTTTCCTTTGGGAAAGGGTGCTGGAGAGGGTCCAACCTCAGACCGAATCTCAGACCCCAAGGCTCCTTGACTCTCTGCTCAAGATCTCATTGGGTTAAAGAACACGAATAGAAATGTGAACTTTGTTTCACTGAAGAAGAAAATGTCCTGAAGTAAAAAATTTTCCTGTTATAAAACTAAAAATGCATCTATAAGAAGGACTTCTTCAGGACTAATTCAAATAACTCGGCTAAACTACACAGGATCTAAAAATCTTTCCTTGTAGTTTTCAGAACACACTCTTTATGGTGACAAGGGGTCACATTAAACAATAAAATCTTAAAGCTAAAATGGATATTAACAATCCTCTAAGACTAAACAATTTGTCAAGATCTAATCTTGGCCTAATCAGACTAGAACCCAGAGCTCCTGAAATATAACTTGGTGCTACTCCCACCCATGAAGTTGATATTAAAAAGAAAACATTAATTCTGGACAGCTGATCTCAAAATGAATTCTCAAGTCTTTCTGGAAAGACTCAAACAGTGCTTCTCAAAGCTTCATGTATAGAAAATACCGGAACCATAAAAAATGTCATTTGTCCCTGCAACGATTTCAGTGGAGTCCAAGAAATTTTAATATGAATGACATTAAGAATGATCTGGCCTACGGAAAATGTCTCTCAGACACTCATCATTTTTAACCTGAAAAAAGAATCCATCAATGAAAACATCTTTTTTAAGAAAATAGAAAAGGACACTTATCCCAACATTAAAGATAAAAAAAGTCAATTATCTTTTCCAATACATAAAATAACAGAGACCCATTAACCTATCTGCAGCATCCCCACAGTGCCACCGGCAGTCATGAGTTAACCTGGTTACTCTGATTTGGTCATGTAAACAAGGCTTCTTGGGGGCAAACGGATGGTGGAAATGCCTTAAGTGATTTATTTGCTTCCAATTTCAATCCAACTATTTGAAACCATGTCTAAAACTCTTTAATATGTATCTACTTATAACCATCCTTTCTGAGAAAAGTTCTGAAACTTCTAAAGTGCACAGATCCAGTGAAAACTAAAACCTTAAACGAGCGTCTTAATAAAGGGGTAAGAGAGAGAATAATTATATCAGAATATGTAAGCCAAGGAAAGCAACCAATGAAGTACCAATGTGCTTTCTGGCAATTGAGGCAAAAAACAAACAAACAAACAAACAATATTCTTATCAAAAAGAAGGATGCAAGTATAAAGTTCTCTTAGCATAAAATCTAAAACGATTTTTATGTAAATCTTTGTTTAAGAGCATGGACTAACCTCACAATTCCTTACAAAGTAGGCTTATCAAATGAGTAAAGGCCTGCATCAATGGCTATTTGTGCTATTAATTACTGATATGAGCTCAGAATTCCAATTTCTCTTTTTCCATATTTTGATGAACTCCTTAGGACACAAAATCAAATGTTTTGTTTTTCATTTCAAGACCTCCCTGTGCTTTAATATTCGTAGGACTCTCTACAGCAGGAGTATATAATGAGTAAAGGGCACTTCCCCAAATTTATTTGGGCATAAAACCCTTTTGTTCTATTGCATCTCCCATGAAAGTGTTCTCTAAAAACAGCTTGGGAAACCCCCAAAGGAGAGGTCAGTCCCATTCCCTCTATGCTGTGTGATCTAATATACCACTGACAGCAGCTGGATGTTTAACCCGAGAATGGGCTACAGTCGCATCCAACAGGCTCATTCCCTTTGTCTGGTTGGCACAGGTAGTAAAGTAGTTGCAGTCTTAGGAAATTCATAATGCCGAAGGTCCCTGACTCTCTTGCGTAGAAATGGCACACAGCATCCTGTAAGTGATCTCTTAAGAGCAATCAAAGTTCCCTGAAGAACAAATGGATATTATCAATGAATGACTCATTGGTGGAGGACAGGATGGGGCGAGGGAAGAGAGGAAGAGATTTAAGGGAGGAAGCTTTGAGCCACTCTTCCATTCCATCCTAGGGAATCCACGTAATCCAAGGCACTATACTTACATGGCCATGCTGATCCAGTTCATTGTTGGTGAGTTTCACCTTTTCAAAAGACACCATCTGCTTGAGTAGCTGCTCACCAGTGAAAGGAGAGTCTGGGTGTACATACAGCCTAAGAAAATTATGAGAGATTTTTATTTAGACATTTAAAAAAAATCTGTTCTCTGTGGGCTATAAAATAATCTGATTCTAAAGGCACACAAAAACTTCATATTAATGGTGAATTTGATTTGCCCCACATAACCTCAAATTTAATAATATAACTATCAAAATAAACCTAAAACATCCAAACATGTTTCTTTATGTAACACTGATCTAAAAGGGGTTTTACCTAATAAATTTTCTACTGTCTGTTTAGCAAGCCATTTTTAAAAGGTGAGTATTTTTCCATCTATCTTACCAACTACTGGTCTGCTTCTGTAAAATATAAAATCTTAGTGTTGTTGGTATTTTCAAAAGAAAGACCAGCTTATATTAATTGTGTAATGAGTTCCTAGTGTAAATACTGCTTAAAAAAAAAAAAAGAACAATGAAGGTATAAAGAACATAAAAGATGAAACAATTCTAGATAATCCATTCATTTAAACTTGAAGATGACTCAGAAGTTTATAAATACAAGACAAACTAATTTTTAATACAGCAGACTGGCTAACCTTTAATAGTTCACAGATCACAATCTGTTGTTTCTTCTAGGACCTTAAATACTGTGACTTTTATCTAGTTAGACGCCCACTAAATGAGACAGAAAATAAGCTGGGTAAATGTCACATTATTCAATGTATTTATTCACATACAACTTACAGGGGGGAAAAAGCTTTGATGGGAAAAAAATGTATACATCATGTATTTGTCATTTATCAGCTACTATGTGCGAGTCAATCTTTTACTCACTTACAGTTAGATGCAGGCCATTTGTCCTATCTGCAAAGTACTACACAAAGTACAACTCCTCATGAATTCCAATCCTGATATTCACTGACTATAAGCTTGTCTGAAGTCAGGGGAGATACAGAACTCGAGAAAGAAAAGGAAGTATCCCTGATTTAATAGGACAAATCCCATTATCCATTTAACAGGCTATTTATATCTCAATTTTATATAGGATCCTTATATCTTTAATTAAACATAAATATTATGATTGAGGCAAAGTCAGTGGGGAAAAAAAATCACAAAGCATTTCCTGCAGTATTTCCTTTTAAAAAAATCAAGAAACCAGAAGTCTACACACTGTGCTTTGTCACAAAGAGGACTAAGAATAGAAGAATTAGGTGCCCATACTGAAACGGTAAAGCCCACCAGAAGCAAAGCACAAAAAAGACTAACATCACTAGAAATTCTTACTAGACCCGTATAAGAACTTTAAAGACTTTCTGTGTATGTTTGTCTGTCTGTGGGTTTTGGAGGAGTGCTTAAAAATGCCTTTCAGTCGAAGTATATTCCTTGATGATACAACCATCATAATGTTTCAAGTATACCCCTCCAAGGCTATAACTTTACATATGAAATTGTTTTATTGACCAGTACCATATCCTCCCTGCCTCACCAAAACATGTTCAAAAACCTTTAAAGCCCTAGAAGCTCATGAAATGTTCCCTCTTTATCAATTCAACATGGGTCATCACAATAATAAAGACCAACTTATTTAAATACCAATTCCTTTAAAGACAACAAAATGTCCTATGTGAAAATATAACATTGTTTTCTTTTTTTTAAGATAACATTACTTTAGAAAATGTATGTATCTTGCCCATTTGTTGAGTTCAAATGATACTGTCAAGCATTATTTCTTCTGATTAGGAACAACTGACTGGTAAACTTTGGTCTGAAATAAAATGTTTCAAGGAATGAGAACCACAAGGAATATCTACCATCAGTACAAAAATGATCACTTACCATGTTCCCTACCTTTCCTTATGGAGCTATGAAATACAGCACTATTTGTTTTAATAATAATAAAGACGGTTTGCTTGAATAAGCTAGAATATTTCTATCCTATAACACACCAAACACTTATTTAATTTCAATATAAATATACTGAAGTAGGATGAATGGAAAAAATCATACAGGAAGCCCCTCCTCTCTCAAGTCCCCCAGGACTTAAAATTCCAGCAATAGCTTAAACATGCTTCAGTTAAGATAGTGTATTGGTACGTGCTTTCCTTCTCCAACCAGAACAGATTAGTAACATAAACAAGGCATGTCATATTTCCAAAGTCCTGCTGGCCTGCACCAGCTCCTCATACCTTCAGATAGGAAGAAAATATATGCTGAATAAGAGTGATTAACTTCTCAGGGGAAAGACTTTGGGGGGAGAAAAAAGATTTGCTTGTGAAAATGGTTAGAATACTACTAAAATTCTCTCTCTCTCTCCTCTCTCTCTCCCTTTCGTTTAAAAAGATTTTGTAAAGTATGGAAGTAAACTTGAGAGTAGTATGAATCAGCTATTTAATAATAAATAGTAAAGAATATTAATTATAATCATTTTAAAATCTACCATAAACGGGTGAATCTTGCTCTATTTAAAAAATGGGTGTAACATTTTTTAAGAATTTCTTAGTCCTGCTATTTAGTATGTATTTAATATACTGATTTGGAAGGGTTGGGAAGATGTCCTTCCTAGTCTCCTATGGGAATGGAAAACTCTGAGAGGCTTCCTTTAATCTTTCCTCCAGTGTATTTGGCATACTGTAAGCTCAATAATGTGATCAGCAACTAAGTAAGCTTAATATTCCATCCAAACTAGTATGTGTAAATTGTCTGTATTGGTTCTGTGCCTTGACTAAAACTCCAGACTCAGTCCTTACAAAGAACCAACCCAAAAAAAAAACAAAAAAAAAAAAAAACAAAGAACCAACCCAACTTCAGAGTGCCTAAATCTGTACATGTAAATAAACTTTTCATTCTGATATGAACTTCCAACCAATTACAAAAATTAGGTAATCATAAAAACAAAACTTTAAAAAATCAGTGAGGCTTGCCTTTAGAACCCTAAATGTAAAGTCCACTAATACCCTTTGCTTGTATTAAAGTATGCAGTTAGATTCCTGTAACTTCAGCTACTACTATTTGCATAAACTAATACACACTCCCCACCCCCACCCCCCCTCCCCGCCCCAAGGCTAATTTGGGCAAAGCAACAACAATAAAAAGCATCATGCAATTTTTTAAACCAAGTTCTCCTTCAAAAACATTATTACCAATGAAAGCACAAAAATAAACATACATGATCCCTAACATATTGAGTAATGTTTTGTGTAAAATAATATTAATCTGTTGTTGAATTACATCCACCCACTTAACTTATTATGGAGAAGGGGTTAAAAAAGAAAAGAGCTTGCTTTTCTTACTTAAAATTTCTGAGTCCTTTACTGGTCAGAAACAACCACCATTTCACCAAAATGACATTTACTGTGTGCAGATATTACCAATATTATTAAAAAGGACTTACTATGAACAACCACTTTACTAAAATGCACTCTTCTAAAAAGGATTTCAGGGCCACCACTTCAGCAGTAGGTTTATTCAGTCTAGTGTTAAGTAGCCAACTAGAAATGAGACGGGTGCCATACGAAATGGGTCTGGATTTCTAACGAATATTCTAACTGAAATGAGGAAAGCTTGGAAATGAATTCTGAGGAAAGATAACACTAAGGACAACGTTCTGGCTGTGCACAAACTCTGTCTTTCTCAGATATTTTATACCGCTGGTCCTGGAGCATCTGGGCTCCAAATGCTCTCTACCAGAGCTCACCACTGTGAAAACAGAGCTGCTTAAAACTCAACCAGCCAGAGGTACTCTGCTCTCAGGGTTCATATGCATTGCATTTGCTCTGCCCGAAAATCTGGAGGCACAAACCTGGCTGGCAGCGGTGGGTCTGCCTTGCCAGCCACCAGCCAGGAGGACCGGTGGTAGGCGTAGCGGTACCTCTTGTTGTCCACGGGGACGATGTCCATCAGGACTATGTACTTGGCCTCAGGATCCACGCCGGAAAAGGATACCCGAATGGTGGGAAACATCCTCCTGACACAGGGAGACAAAGAGAATCGACTGGAGCTCCTGGAGGCTAATGAGCCAACTGAATAAAAGAGGGAGGTCCTACTCTCTCCCCACTGACCCCACACCCTTTTTGTTTCCACAGAGACTAGAGCTTGAGTACGGAGACCCTCCTTCTCCCTCCCCCCACCCACATAACTTTAGGTGTCACCTTCACAGGGGTCCCCTTGCTACATGAAAAGTTTTGTTTGCTTTTTACGACCGGAAGGTCTGCGATTACAGAAAATGCTATGCAACAGTATCAAACCCGTCAGCCTCTCCCGTCAGGCTCTCCCGGACCAAAGGTTGGAGCTGACAAGTCTCCCAAACCCCTAAGGTTACAGGGAGAAAACTTGTTTCAGCTATAAATCCAGGGTGGGGTTGGGTTTCCGGAGACCCTGGGGGTATTTCCCAGAGGCTACAGAGCTGGAGGGACCAGGGCCGCGGGGCCACTGACCTTTAGAGTCTTCGCTCCAGGCCTGGGAGCCGCCTGCATTACCCCCGCCCTGTGGCTTCCGCTACCCTGTGCCTGCCTTACTACGGCACCAAGGGGCCCGTAGCCCCAGCACTCTGTCCTACACAGTGTGAGTTTCAAATTTCATTCTTCTGCTCAGGTTTTAATTTTAGTTTTTAATGGGAGCTGGCAGCTTTTGCAAATTGAGGCAAATAAAAGGGAAGCTACTTGCCTCCCTCGAGGCACCCAGCAGCTTGCCCTATACCCACCCCCCAACCGGATTCCTGCTTCCCTCAAGATGCCAGCTCCCCACCCCAAAGCCCTCCCAGACTGCAAGGGCCTAAGATCGCTGGTCCCCATGTGCCTCTCATCAAGACCACGGCCATGGTGGGGTTTTCCATGGTCGGATCCTGAGAAAGCAAATGCTAGGAAGTCTGTCTCAGCAGCTCTTTCCAAAAGCAAGTTTGTAGAAAGAAGCCCTAATTAAAGGAAACTTCCTGTCACTGCTCTGGGCCAGTGGGGTTTCACTCAGCTCCAGGGAACACCCGAAGCCACCCAGGGTGCCACTGTCATCACTGTAGCCCTTACACACCAACCACCTCCCCCACCACCACCAACTGCTACCTGCCCGACTTGGTGATGATCATCTCTGTTCCCAGCTCGTGGAATTTGTCCCAGAGCTCCTTGGTCTCCAGGCTGCAGGCAATTTTGGCCATTTCCTCACTGGGGATGATGGGGGTGGTGGGGATCAGAGGCTCAGTACACAGGGAGGAGGAGGAGGGGCTGCTGCTGCTGCCGCCACCGGCAAACTCCCCGTGAGCATCCAGGCTGGTCAGTTCACCCAGGGGTTGGGCACAAGAGGACTTCTCAACAAATTGTTCTGCAAGCAAAGAGAATGGAGAATGACAGCTAACGCTGTCAAGCAAAGATACAGGAAAGAGAACAGTGCAACCCAAATAGGTACTGGACTTGACTTTGGAAAAGTTAAGTTCACAAACTCCAAGAAGGCAGTGATAACCCATCACTATATAAATCTCCATGGAGTGACATACCCAGTGCTTCCTAAGTGAACCAAATGAGTCCTAGAACTTTGGATGATTACTACCATTATGAAAGGCACTTTGGGGACTAAAAATGTAAGGAGTGGATAAAGGGAAAGGATGGGCTCATGAAAGATGAAAGCAAGGATTGCTTCTGCTATCCCTCCCATGTTCAAGATTTTGCAGCTTGTGGGATCTCCTTTCCATCCTGAGCCTTCTCTCCACAAGAAAAAAATGAAAGGTGGAAGGGAGGTGGAGAAAAGTGGGGATGAGGTTAAAACGGGGATGAGGTTAAAACGAAAAAATTTACTTCTCTGCCTGGCTCTTAGTTTTCTATGCTTTAATAGTAGGGCATTCTTACAATAGCCCACCCAGCCTGAGACCTTACGAAAGACTCTAACATATAGCTCGTTAAATCACAGAAGTGGGCTTGCTAGGCCATTTTGGGAATGGGTGTGTAACGATTTCTTGAGGGCAGTATGTGTATTTTTATCTCAAAAAGGTCCTGGAAGTGAGGAAAACAACCCGAAACCCAGGCTAGCAGAGTATTTAAAGTAGGAAGAACACCATCCACCATCAGGCTGGAATACCGCTGCCTATGAACCAAACATTCTACTCCACAGCTGATAAGGGCCTAGGACTACACCAGTCACTTTGATGGAATACAGGGGGACTTTTGTAATTGTCCCAATTATCTTGCATCCCTTAAAAAAGAAACTACTTGAATCTGTAATGTGAAACTGATCTCTAAACAACTCTGTTCTAAGTGCCCCCAAGGAATTGAAACAAGTTCTAAATGTAGATATATACATATATATGCTATGTATCCTATAAAGTGGTCAGTTTCCCATATTTCTCCTTGACTTAGAGCAGGCAAGCAGGAAACAGGGTATTTTTACCTTTTCTTCTCTTACAGTAACAATCCAACTCACTGTAACATTTTAAATTAAGAATATGCTAATTATCTTAGCCTTATATTTTTAAATTCAAAGAACAAGAAGTATGCCACGGCAAAAGATTATTTTCAACAAATATTTTCAGAAACACATTCACATAATGTCTTTATAGAGAATCAACAAGTAGCCTCAGAAATTTTCTTATTTTCTGACAACTGAAAAAGGCAAACTCCCTAAGCCCCAGACTAACAAATGGTCAGGGTTGGAAAAGTGGAGAGGAAGAAAATGATACAGAATTGCTCCAACATAACGTTATGTTATATGTCAAGGGTACCTCAAGAAAAAAAAATAACTTAAAGAAATGCTCTAGTGGTCTAAGGCAGTTCTTCTAAATAGATGTTATGTGTTTAAATGTGCAATCTTGATGCACTTTTGAGTCCCTACCCCCACAGCTGCTTCGACAACTATCCAAAGTACCACATTCTCTGTAACAGAACCTTTAGGTGTCTCCCTTGCGGGAGTCCTCAGCTTACAGTCACCAGTTGCGCTGTTGAACTAGCCCGTGGAAAGGACAAGAATGCCTTCTGCTTCTTTCAGAGCCTGTCTCAAAAGCCCAGGGGAAGGAGGCTCATTTTACAGACTGTGTATATTTGTGGTAGGGAAAGGGTGGTGGCTTTATAGTTTAGAACTTAGATAGAAGGTGAGTTTTCTCAGGAAAAGGAGAAAACAAAGTAATACTGAAATGACAGTGGAAATGAAAAGGGCATGTTTCCCAGTCTGAGGTCTGTAATTCCGACAGGAATATTAACCCGAAGTGCTCTTTCCCTGCTAGCTACCAAACGGTGACAGGGGTGTTTATAAAGAATTCAGAGGCCTTCTAAATAGGAGTGGATAATGTTGGGCAGTCCCACCAAAAAAACTTTGAAATTGGTGGTTAATATGTCTGTAAACAGTTTGGGTTTGTTTCATTGGTTGTTGGCTTTTTTTTTTTTTTTTTTTTTTTTGGCAGGCTTAGATTTCACAGAGTGGCTTGTGGGAAGAACCAGGGAAAGGGACCTTGGAGGGGAGACTTTTTGACATTATATTTTCTGGAGATCTTTCTGTTTCTTTTCCTTGGTTCTAAGTTGCTCTGGGGATTTTGGTTCTTTCTTTTCTCTCTGCCCAGCCCTCTTATTTTTCATCTTTAACACTGTTTCATACTAGGATTGCTGTTTCAGATATGAGATGTTAAAGTGTTGGAAAGGACAGGGAGAAAGAACACATTGGGGAGAGTTAATTTTATATATATAAATTAAATAAATATAAATATAAATATACGAAATATATATATATTACCCTAAGCTTGTTGTGTGATGTGTCTCACCACATTTTCGGTCTATCAGATGATCAGGATGTGAAATAATTATTTCCTGGGGACCCAAGAGGTGATGATGAGAACACTTCTTTCTCTGTCGATTGTAAAGGGACTTTGAAATACTCAAGTCCAGCAGTCTCTTTCCCACACAGTTCACTCATGCTAAAGGGAACATAATCCCTGGTTTCCCTTTACTCCAACCAAGCCTAGTGTCTTCTATAAATGGTAAAGGTTGTTAAATAAACAGTATAGCTAAAAGTTGAGGAATTTGGAAAATGGTTACTGGCTAATGTTTTTGCCAACCTCCACTGAAAATGATGGCAGTTACAAAATGACGTCTCACTGATACGTTTGGAGCTTCTGTGAAGAAAATGGTTCAGGTGGGGAGAACTGGCGTATTCTACAGCAGACGACAGTGGTTTGAAGGAGTTAATTTTGTTTCTTCAAGTCAAAGGAAAAACAAAATGCACCTAGTTTCTTGTGAGGTCGCTAAGAGTCTCCGTGGCATCAAATGCACACGCAGGTGTTACGCGCATGGTAAATTCTGTTGAGTCAAAGGGGTTAATTATTTATCCCTGACTGTTTTGATCCCAACAAAGTTACATACTCTCCTACACAGGTACGACCTGACATGGGGATTCTAGACTCATAGATAAGGCAGAGTGGCTGGCGCACACCGGAGATGCGAAACCGGTGGTCTGGGAAGCCCCCAAAGAAAAGAATCTCCCAACTCCAGCGTGGGGCTGGTGGCCTGGGGGTCAGAAGCGGCCTGGAGCAGGAAAAGGCGGCCACCGTCTCGAGCCTCCCGCAGGCAGGATGACGGACGGATGCGCCGCAGCCCGCTCCCGCGCCAGACGGACAATCAGGCAGCCCGACTTACCAAGTGGTTTGATGGTGTTCTCCGTGGCCTCCTTCTCCTTAGAGCCGCCGCTCGACATGAGCGCGGCGATGGAGAAGGCGTTGGCCCGGGAGGAGAGCTGTGGCTTGGGCGACGCCGTGAACTCCATGGCGCCCAGTGTGCGGTCCTGGCCACGCACGGGGCCTGCCGAACTCCCGTCCAGCTTCCCCACGGGAGACAAACACCAACGCCGAGCGCAAAGTTTCCAAGTGCAATCTCAGCGGAGTCGGGAACTCCAGATGAGTCAGCCCCAACCGGCCGACAGCTCCACACCGGCCTCTGTCCCTCACTGCAAAGCCCTCCAGCCGCAGACACTTCGAACTAGCCGGAGAGGACAGGGCAGGACCAGCTCGACCCAGCGCGCGAACCCTGGGGAGCTCCGGAGGGCCACAGGCTGCGCCGCAGGAAGCTGTAGACGAGCATCGGACGCGCAAAGCCCGGGGGTCTTGCGGCACCCCGGTGCGTCCTGCCTCCCTCCACGCGCCGGGGACAGCCGGAGCGGCCCAAGCTGCGGGAAGGTGGCTACCGGCGGAGCGCTGCCGCGAGGGGGCGGGCCCCGGAGAGCACTGGCGCCGGCGTGCGGAGCGCAGCGCGGCGCGGAGGACACTGCGCCCGGGCGCTCGCAGCCCTGCGCCTTAATTTGCTGGCGACAGCGATCCCGGCGGCCCGCAGCCAGTCAGCGCCGCCTCACGTCACCGCTTCCTGATTCCGCCGCCGGGGGCGGGGCCGCGGGCAGGGCAGGGAGGGCGCTCCCCGGGCGCGGCGCCCGCCGCCGGCCGTGAACCTGGCGCCCGTTCGGGAAAAGTGCCACCGCCACGCAGCCGCGGACTCCCTCAGCCTTCTCTCGAGGTCTCAGGGACGAAGGGACTGGCGCGCGATCCCCGGGGGCGTATTTTTGAAGCTGCTGGGACGCGGGACCCCGGGAGCGGCCCTGTGCGGGAACCTAGACCAGAAGTAGCCTGGGGGAGTTTCTGCTTCTTCCATTCTTTTTGTAGCCGGTGCTCAAAGTTCCTAAAGAAAGTTGGGAAGCTCTAAGTAGAGCGGAAACCGGCCCCACGGAGTCACCACCTACGGGCCAGATCCTATTCTCTGGGCAGTTCCCAAGGCTCGGTCCCCTCGTTCTTTAGGCTCCAAAATCTGTCTGCTTGACGGTGGGACTGGAGAGACACAGCCCTGCAAAAGATACGCTGAGAGAGAGATGGGGCATTTGGCGAAGGCTGCTGCTCTCAGAACCACGGCCTCTGCTGCACACCAGTGCGGCACTTACGCGGGGTTCCTGTTCCCGAAAGGGACTCTGGAAATTGGGGCCTCCACCCAAGGGAAGGTGAGGGGTGGCGCGCGGACCTGGCGCGGCACCCTGCGGGGACCACGCCACACTTATTGGGAGGATGGGGGGTCTACGACGCCTGAGCTTGTTAGACGGGGAATCTGCCTTCGCAAACTGGGCTGCGACCAGGACTTCCCACGGCCTTATGGGGGTCGTCCTGTTGGCCTTGTTCAGCTTGAATAACTCAAATTCTCCGAATTCGCAGGGTAATCCGCTTCACTAGGAGCCGTGTAAACTCAGGCTGACACACACACTCAAGCTGTACATGTAAATATTTGCGCTCCTTTCCAGCCAGCTGGTCTGGCGATTAGGAGCCTTTTGGTGGGTCTTAAAATTTTAAAGAAAAAGAATACATCTTCCATTTCCCACCAGCCTTTTTCTCCCTTCACTGCACCCGCTGCCGTCCCAGACTCCTGAAATAAACATACGGGGGGGAAAAAAAGTCAAAAGGTGAGAACTTTTATGAAGGTGAAATGATGACATCTGGGAGAGTCGCGATTTAAGCCACGCTTGCCAACGTGTATCAATAGTTTCTAACATGGTGCTGCATGCAGGTGTTAAGAAGCGCATTCTGAAACCAGTCTCCGTGTACGAAAGTGTATTTGTACAAACATTTGGGGAAATACGTAAAATCATAGGTTTTATTGCTGGAAGGGGTTTGCACTGTGAGTAGCCTATCTCCATTTGCTTTTGAGAGGGAAACGCCAGGTCTGGCTTGGCAGGGGCCACCTCCTCTCCCTTCTGCCCAGCGGGCTAGAGGCAGTCTAGACGGCAGGACCCGCACTCAGGGCCACCGGCTTGGTCACACCCTGGCCCTTCAGCTGTGCTTGGGCTGTTCAGGGGAGATCGACCCTAGAGCTAACGCCAGCTGAGAGCAGAAGGCTCTCGGATTAAACCTCAGTAAGCGTAGAGGCTAAGCCACCGGGTGTGCCCAAGGATCAGTTTTCATTCTTAAGCCTTTAGTCTTTGGCTGTTTTTGAACAACCCAGACCCTTCATGGTTGTTGTTGAAGGCCACCCCCTACCATACACCCCATCGCAATGCAACATTGACGTTCCCCTCTTGAATGTAAGGCTCACACGAGTTCCTTTCCTGTCTCAGAAAGGAACATTTCCCACAAGGCGGTTTTTCTTTGTTTTTAACTTTTTATCCGAGCAGGGGGTGATGTCATGGCTAGTCTAGAACTTAATATATGCTTCAGATGGGTGGCGAAGATCTTGTTGGCTGCTTTTGGTTTTCAAAAACGTATTATGGAATTAAAACTCAATTTTTAAAACTTGCCACTACATTTCTACACAGAGGAACCCCGTTTCTTTTCTTAATTATCCTAATGGCTCAGAATGGAAATTTAATAACTCCATGGCAGAGACATTTTTTTTTTAAACTGACCCAGCGAGGGGAAAGCTGACTTGCCTCCAATCAGCTTCCATTTTTTTTTCCCCCTCAATTGCCACGGCCACGCATAGTCCAGTTCTGAGACTCTCGTGGGCAGGGAACTCCAACTATTCCTTGTATCAAAGGTAAAACAAAAAGCAAAGAAGGCTAAATGAGCGCGCGCGGATACAGGAGGCAAACCTGAGGAACTGAAAAGGCCACTTTAAACAAATCCGGGCGCAAGAGGTGGGCCGTTTGGGGATCCCTAACAAGCTATGCATCTTGTTGGTGTTGAAACCGTGGCAGTAAAATGTATACTACAACATGATTATCGGGTGGGGGGGAGCATAGTGCCCGTTTTCTTAGATTTATTGCCTTTGTGAATCAATATGGTGCCATAAAAACGGAGAACTTGTGCTGGGCAGAGAGGCGCTGTCAAAGCGTGATTCAAAGCCATCCCGAAGCCGAAAGCGCTGAAATTCTGAGGTCCGTTAAAAACCTCAGTGTTAGCGCGGGTTAACAGGTAAAGCCACCAAAGTGGGTGGAACGAAGCAGTGTGTTAATGTTTAACCCATCTCTCCAGGCCCTGCTCAGGCTGGAGACTGGTGGGCAGGAGCTGCTTTGGGATGCTGGAACGTGCAATCGACCTGGAGAAGGCTTTGAATCTTGACTTTAGACTTCGTTACCCCTGCGACTTTGTGCTGGTGTTCTTTAAGCTTCTCGAAGTCTCAGCTTCACCGTCTTCATTAAAACAGGGACAATAATTTATTCCTACCTGGAAGATGACTCTGTGGGTTGAGATAACGTATGTAAAGCTCCCAAACCATAGGCAACCTTAACAGTAACACCAATGCACGTAAAACATAAGTACAGAATTTTATTACATTTAAAATTTGAACTGCAACTTCGCGATCGCAGAGATGTATCTCTCTCATAGTCTCACCGAGTTAACTGTATAGACAGTGTCGGAATGTGCACAGGGGAGAAGAGTCACATGGTGATAACGAACCATCCCTTACATCCCCTTAACCTTTGGAGCCTGAGGATGAAACATTTTGGTTATACGTCTGAGTTAGGTTCCTCGGAGTTTGCAGAACTGGAAGATGTCTCTTTACGCACGCCACCCTTTCAAATTGTCTTTTGTAGTCTCCGGAACTAAAAAGTTAGTGGTCCCAGAAAACAGCCTAGGAAGTAATTGATTTCCCGCTTTTAGCCAATGGTCCCTCGCTTAACGACTGCTAACGCAGAACGCCCCGCAGCAGGGACCGGTTCCCGGCTGGTCTTGCTCACGCGCCGCCAGCACCGGGAGCGCAGCTGCGCTGCGGGACCGGGTGCCAGACACAGAGCGCCGCCGTGCACCCGAGGGTGACAGAGGGAGAGAAGGTGAGAAAGGAGACGTGCTTCTGGGCACACGGGCAGAGCTACTCGCGGCCTTGGCCCCAAATCCCCGTTCCCCTGCTCCTTTCCGCTCTTCCCGGTAAAGGCTTTAAAAGCAATAGTAATGGTGCCTTTGGGTTTCTAAATTCAGTTTGCCGAACAGAAAAGCCCCAAAGCAGCGCAGGGAGGGCGGCCGCAGCCGCTCGGAGGTTTCCGAAGCACCTCCTCGGGGAGAGAGCCGCGCGCGTCCCCGCGCCGGGTGAGGCGCGCGCGGCGAGGCCGGGGATTTCGACCGCCTGGCTGCAGGGGTGCGGTCCTGAGCCTTTCCTGGGAGGAGCCCGGGCCTCGGTACAAAAGCACACCCAGGTGGGGTTACGTTTACTCGAACCCGAGTGATCCCCTCAACGCTCTCCCCCAGCCCGGGTTGCAAGAACGGGCCCAGAGTCTCCAGGCCTCCGGACCCACCGCGGAGGCCCCAGGGGCTGGCGCTCGAGGCGCCTTCGCCCAGTTCAGGCTTTACGCGGGAGGCTCCTCGAGGCGTGCGGCCGGAGGTTGTCACCAGACGGTCCCGGGTGGTGTGCGAGCGCGCGCTTTTGGCCCGGACTGCACACTTGAGACCCGCTGTGAGACCAAGGGAAGAGATGTCTTGCGGGCCTAAGAAGCGACGCATCCGTCTCCAGGGGCCGTGTCCTCAGGTGGTGAAGGGAGAGGTCCTTTGGGGCCGGGGCCCTCAGTGCTGCGACGTTACCCCTCCAGGCCCAGGCTAGCGGAGGCCAGCAGCTGGGGGTGCCTCCCGCTCTTGCCCACCGCAGGCCTCCCCCCACCCCTGTTTCCAGTAAGCGGCTCCCCCAGCCTGGGGCCAGAGGTCAGGCGTGGGGCCTCAGAGACTCCTCACAGGGTGCTCCCTTGGGGCTTCGGCTCTCCGGCTCCTTCCAACGACCACCCGCTTCCCGGGTCGTCCCCACCGTGAGCTCGAGTGGAGACTGCAGGGATCCGGCCTTGGCAACCCCCACCCCCACCCCCCAGGCCTCCCCCTGACCAGAGATGAACCCGT